ATTATAATGGTGTAACTTGTTAAAATAAAAATGTATTTTTTAAACATGTTTTAATTGATATACGATTATGTATAATAATTTGATAAATGTTTAAAATGAAACATTTAAAAGTAAARGACGTAAAGTAAATTAATTAACTAATTATAGGAGTATAAAGTTTAAATTTAAAATTATAATTTTAAAAAAATCGGTTGTGAGAGGGTGAGTGTATGTGAGGAGAGGAGGGGGTGAAAAGTGATATAAAGTGTATCTTGGTCATTTAGTATTTTAAGACTCTAAGACTTTTGTTAAATTTAATTTATAAGATAGTATAGATATAGATAATAATGAGATTTTGCGAGGAGTATGTTTATTGCATCCTTGTAATGCGACAAGTTTACTTATCGCATCAGTGTGATGCGAAAAGTTGGGTTTATTGCACCAGTGTGATGCGATGAGATGAGGTCCTCACACCCGTGTCTTGCGAGGAAATGGGGTTGTCTCACCCATGTGATGCGAAAAAATTATATTTTCATCTATATGATGTGATGGGTTTTTATCAAAGTGTGTTAGATGAATTATTGCGTTATTTGATGCGATAAAATTGGTGATGTCTCATCTTTTAGATGCGACAAAAGAGGTTTTGTTTGATTGAATTGTGGTTTGTTTATTATTATTACAAATACGAGATTATATATATGATTTGGTGTTTACACCCTGTATTAGCAAGCAAATGGATTTCTCACTAGACATCAAGGTCTAACTCTCATTTTTGGTGTTTTGAAAATGTGAATTATATGTCGGACACAACCAGAGGATAATGGGAAAGGGAATTTGTGAAGAGTTATATTTGTCTACATGAGATGTTAGGATAAAATGTTATTTGTTGTATTAGAATACCTGTTATGTGTACATGTTTTGTATATCAGGGTGGTACCTGATTGGTTTGAGCTTGGGCTCCAAAAGCTAAAAGTGTCTGGAGGTCTCAGGTTCAAATCTAAGAAGAAATAAAAATCCTCCTACGGTCACGGAGGTTCAAATGCAGTGACTCCAGGCTACCCACAAAATAGGTGGTTGCCATAGGATGAGTCCGCTCGCATAGCAAGTTGGATATCCAGGTTAATAAAAAAAAAAGATTTTGGTGGAAAAATTTGTTTATTACTTTGTAATGTAGCTTTTGTAAATAGTGGGGCCAATTGTGTAAATTATATTTCTTGATATATGAAAATATATGTTTATATACAAATGTAAGTATGAGGTGTTACAATAATTGTTGATGTAACAACCCATATAGCCCATGAACATATAATTCACATCATCATACTCATAACACTAAAAATAGTATTGTTACAAAATATGGACTAACAAAAACTTTCTTTAATACATATATGAGTAACCAAAATGCCATCAACACTAAACTTTTCCCTTTCCTTTATCCTGGGAGGTACGATGATCTGCAAAACCGGTTAATCCAACAACTGAGCATTAGACCAAAAAGGTCTAGTGAGTGTATAAATTTTAAACAAACAACATACATTCTAAACAATAAGTTTAGAAACAAACCTGTTTCGATACATAAACATATTTATCTCTCTCGCGGTTACACCGCCATTTATCTCTCTCGTGGTTACACCGCCATTACATCTCTCTCTCGCGGTTACACCGTCATTTCATCTCTCTCGCGGTTACACCGCCATTACATCTCTCTCGCGGTTACACCGCCATTTCAAACACACAGCTTCGGTCCATCCGACCTCTGGTTTCAAACAATACTTAGAAATTATATCGACAACTAGGACCAGAGCCCCTCTGGTATCTCTTCCAGAGCTTCTGGTCACATGACCAGAGCCTCTGGTTCTAAATCACACTCTAGAAAATATTCCAACATATTTGGACCAGAGCCCCTCTGGTCTTTCTTCCAGAGCTTTTGGTCACAC